TGTATGTGTGAAACTGATTGTTCCTCTCGAGCTAGAGTGTTTCTAGACTGCACCTAGAGCTCAAAATAAGCTTCTCAATTTGAGCTACACAAATTGTGTAGGTTATTTTGAGTTAATTTCGAAATAGCTTATTTTGAAATTTGGCACTGTCCACGCAGCACTTATTTTGAAATAAATCGCTATTCTGAAACGTCCCTGACTCCTCGTGGGATGAGGCTAACAGGGATGTCAGCATAGCGAGCCTGTTATATTTTGAAATAACAGGTGTGCTCTAAAGAGCGTTGAAAGTGGAGCACTTTGCATTTCTCCTTATTAAACTTCATCCTGTTTACCTCAGAGCAGCGAGTCTCAGAGCTTGGGTCGGTGTAGACATTCCACTCAAGCTGGCGGCTGGGCTTTGAAACCTGGCAAGGGAGGTAGGTCTCAGCTGGAGCAGGAACATCTGTATTGCTTATTTTAGCTCCATCAGGTGAGCCGGAGTCAGCCAACCTGGGGCTGAGGCTTGCTGAAGCGGGGGATTTGATATTTATTTTTGCAGTAGAGACAAACCCGGCTTTATTTGGACTTCGGGCCTGTGGAAAAGACTGAGCCGGACCCTGAGTTAGTACTAACTGAGTTTGGCTCAGTCAAGCCACGTCGATTTACAGCAGCTAGGGAGCAGGCCTAGAAGGTGGCTTTCAAAAGTTCTTTCTTGTGACCCAGTGGGAAAAATTATTTATGCCCGCAACCCAATCATTATATTTTTTTAGAGGTCCCCCCGGAGAGCTCCCCAGTGGCTGACAACAGAGCTCCCCATGAGGAATTCCTCCTCCCTCCATGGAGCTCAAGCTGCCAACCCAGTGCCCACGTCCTTTCATTGTGACCCTAAGTTTGGGAATCACTGGCTTAGAATATTGAGTGGATTATGGTCTTGATCCTCCTTTTCCTTGCTCTGGGTTAACACAAGGCTGACATCGCTGGCGTTAAAGTTCTCTTGGTGGCAGAATTGTCTTTGTGTGCAGCCCTGAAATTAAAACCAAGAAAAGGGATCCATTATGCTCGGGGCTGTAGAGACATTCCCTGCCCCTATAAAGCTACTAATACTTGTCTCCTCTAGGCTGCGTTGAGACTGCTTTTTTTTTCCAAAAAAACCTCTTCCGAAAAAAGGATCGGAAAAAGATATGCAAATGAAGCACGTGAACATGCTAATCAGCGTTTCATTTGCATTTCTGTTTTCTTCATTTGCATTTCCTCTTTCGGAAGAGGAAAGCAGTCTAGACACAGCCCTAGAGAGGGCTTTTGTAAGCAGTAGATCTCAAAGCACTTCCTAGTAACACACTTGTAAGGCAGATCAATTAGCCCCACGGTGCAGGGAACAAAACTAAGGCACAGATAGGGTTTCCAGGAGTCTGGTATTGGCCGGGACAGTCCAGTGTTTGCAGATTCTGTCCAGTAAAAAAAGACAGAAATTACTGGACACTGTGCCCCTGCCACGTCTGGTGGAGGCGGGGGGAAGCACGGGGATTTAAAGGTGTAGTGACTTTTTATTTTGGTGCAGCTATTTTTTTTCTGCTCAACAACTTAGGTCCCCGTTTTTTGCTCAACCAATTTTTTTCCTGTCATGTTCGGTATTTTTTTGGAAATGATCTGGCAACCCTAGGCACAGAGATGCTAAGGGACTTGCCCAGCATCACCTAAAGAGTTTGCAGCAAAGTAGAGAATTGAACCCAGCTCTATCCATGGTCAAGACCACAGCCCAAAGCATTGGGCAGACCTAACACTGGGCTGTGTTAAGACAGATGCAGGCTAAGTAAAATTAAGCAACACTGAAGATGAGTGACTCATGGGTGAGGAGCAAACAATATGTTCATTCCACTTTCTTCTGTTTTTTTTTTTAAGTTAAATTCGGATCTCTTTCACACAGCTGCAAATAGTTCCTGCTACCTTCAGTAGTATGACCTTGGTGTAACTGAGCTCAGAATCTAACTCAGTGCCTTAAAAAAATAGTGCCCACGTCACTTTCCAAAAGGCTGTTTTAGTTTATTCAGCGTCAGTTCATTTCTCCTCCTCTGCTTTCTCGACTCTTGGATTTCGCACTGTCTCTGTGCGCTACAAACACCTCTCAGCAAATGCAGATGCAGAGGGAAAAAAATGAAATCACACTCCATGTTCCCCACTCCCACTGCCTGCCCGCCCATAGAGATGTGTGAAAGAATTTATAAACACTACAAGCTTTATTGTAAGCACAGAATTTATAAACAGTACAAGCTGACACAGCTTCTCTTCCCCCAGCTGGAAGACCAAACTTTCCTTTCCAGATATTTGACAGCCTGGAACTGGGCAAAAAAATTCAGTTCCTTCCAACTTTTTTCTATGAAAAGGTCTGATTCAGTGACACTGAAATGTTTTGAGAATAAACATCAAATTCACCAAATCATTTGTTTTGACTCAGAAGCAAAACAAAACAAAAATGAGAAAAAAACAAAACATTTTGCTTGGGGGACATTTTTTGAAAATGAGACTATTGGATGTTTTTGGTTTGAAACCACTTTTTGTGGAGAACTTTCATTCAAATTTGCCGCTCAGAAGCAAAACATTTAAAACCCTGTTTTAAAATACCCTTCAAAAATTCAAAAAAATTATTTTCGGTTGAATCCAAAACATTTTGGGAGGGATTTTTGAGAATTGCTAGCAAATAAAAACATTCATTTTTCAACTAGCGCTATTCTACTGATGCCCAATTCATTAAACCTCAGAGGTACCCAAATCCATTGAATCTAGACAAAAAATACTTTACAATTGAGTTAAGATTAAGAGTATGTGTCAGTAATTTAAAGCTTAAAAGCACTTTAGATATGTGGTAAGTATCCCAAAACCATACACTGTAAATTTGAGACATTCAGAGATAAAAGATACATCTAAAAGAAATTGAGAGATTTTATAGTAAGAAATGTACAACGAAGGTAACCAAACAACCTTAATTCTGCCTTGCAATAATATCATGCAATAAACATATGACTACAAGAAAGACTTTTTAATAATTTAATAATTTTTAATAATTTTAACAACTGCTTTTTAAAAGAAAGATTTACTTTTTGCTATATTTTCTTCCCTCATAACATCATTATGAAACCATGTTAATAACATCTTAATTGTGCATGTCAAGCAATCTACCAATGAGAACTCTTGACACCACTGACCAGTCCCATACAGCTGGGTCATTACAACCGATAGAATTGTTACATGCAAATTAGTTTTTGAGGAAGGGTGGTGATTGGTTGAATATGTCACAATGACCCCACCTAAGACTTACCTGCACTGAGCCTGTCTTGTCATAAAAATTAGATATAACAATTCAGATACATTACAAGCCAGTTCATCCAATTTACCCGGTTAATATATTCAAGTGTTATTCTGTTAACATTTGGGCCAAAGAAACTGACACAGATACTAAATTTTTCCAAGACCAAACTAACAAATGGATTTATTTGTAAATTCTCAGAAAATTCATTCCATGCTCAAAGAGTAAGCACTGTAAATATAGGGAGGATAAACTGTGTTTTTCATACAGAAGAAAAAGGTTGAAGCTCTGCTTTATGGGAAATACAGAACTCAGCTTTCATTGTTGAGTCACCATCGACATCTTCATAACACTAGAAACCAATTCATCAGCTGTGTCTAACCTAATCCATCTAATCTATAATCTAGCCCGAAATTTTATGGATCTAATCTCTTCAGTCTCAAATGTCTAGAAATTAGCACACTGTGGACACTAAAAGAAATAAATACTTCCAATAGCAAATTTAACCCATCTAATCTACAATCTAAAATAATCCAGTAGATATATAACCATATACAGGCAGTTCCCGGGTTACGTACAAGATAGGGACTGTAGGTTTGTTCTTAAGTTGAATTTGTATGTAAGTCGGAACTGGTACATATTGTAGGGGAAACTCTAGCCAAACATTTCTCCAGAGCTCAGTTTTATTCTCCCACACCTCACTTCCCTCAGTCCTTTAATCTCAAACTGAGGTGTCTGCTGAGAAAAGCCGCTCCGCGTCTCCCTGGTCTGCTGGGGAGGGGGCGCTAGCTTTGTGTCTCCCTGGTCTGCTGGAGGGAAGCAGCTAGTGCGGGGTTGCCTCACCCCGTTTGTAAATCCATCTATGTTTTAATATAATTCAATCTATCTACTCTCTAATTCAATGGATAGTACAAAATAGACCAATCTGGAAGACCTGGAGTCTAGGCTTGGGTCTGCCATTGGTCTGTTGAATAAACTTGGGCAAATGAGAGCACTGTTCCATGCCTCAGTTTCCCTATCTATAAAATGGTGATAACACTACAGACCTCCTTTGTAAAGTGCTTTGAGAACTACTCAGGAAAAGCACAAGATAACAATGCTACCGACTGTTTCTTGTATTACGCTTTTCAAATTGCTTCACAACCTTCAATGTTTTTATCTGCACAATACTCCTGTGTGGTAGGGAAGCAAGAAGTAGGTCTTATTATTGATCTAATCTGTGCTACAACCTAATCCATCCAGTCTAATCCATTGAATCCACCATCTCATGGAATCCAGGTCTCCCACCATGCTAGTGCTAGGATCTGCATTTAAATCGCGATCTGCATGCCACAGTTGTGCTGAACTCAATTAATTGGTCTCTGATTCCCAATAGACTGAGTTGCTGTCATGATGTGGGCCAGATCCTCTGCTGTGTAAAGCAATGTGACTCCACTGCCTGCCATGGAGTTACAACTGATTCCCACCACCCAAGAATTTAGCTCTAGGAATTCATACCTGGTGCTACAGTCCCTGAGCCATTGTGGTTGGCAAAGCTGGCAGGTCACATTCCTCTGATCCTGCCTCAACAGACAGTGCCTTGCAAGCATGCAGTAACTGAACCAGGAGCAAATATTTTCTCATCCTCTAGCAGTGCACAGTTTCAGTGGGAGGGATCCAGCTGGCAACTCATTGACCCGTGGGCGGGGCTTTCTATAAGCAATTAACAAAAGGGCTGAAACTTGTTCACTTCCCGTGGTTGGAAGATCAGTTTCATTTTCATCTCTTCCCCCTCCGTGCTTCTTCTCGGCAGCATGTCCAGCCATGCAACTCGCCTCCGGCTGAAACTCCCAGCAATATGCTGCCTCCTCCAGCTCGTCACCATCATCCTCTTCGCTGTTTTCATCCGTTACGATCAAGAGACCAGCGCCAGGCTGTGGCACGAGGAGCTGACGCGCCACAACAAAAGCAACCGGGACAACGAGTTTTACTTCCGCTACCCGAGTGAGTACAGCCCGTTCACACACACCGCTCCTTCTTCCACAGCCCACCCATGTCACTGCTTTGTGCCACACATCCCTAAGGGCAGAAGCCATCAGTAGGAGGGGACCCCAGCCATTTACATGGCCCCTCTCTATAATGTAGGAAGCTCATCTCAAGGGGGTGATGCCCACAGTCACTGAAACCCCAGAGGAGAGAACCGCCGTCGTCTTGGTGGACCTCTAGGATTGAACGAGGGGCCGCCAGTCCTAAAACACGAGTCTCTACAGCTGGGTGCTGCATCAGACTCGCAGCCCATCTACAGTTGGGGTTCAAAACTGCAGCCCATTCCTGGGGCCGTCCTAAGGGGCTGTGTCTAGAATGGCAAGTTTTTCCACAAAATCATGTGATTTTGCGGAAAAACTTGCCAGCTGCCTACACCGGCTACTTGAATTTCCGGAAAAGCACTGACGATCTCATGTAAAATCATCAGTGCTTTTCCAGAAATACTATGCTGCTCCCATTCGGGCAAAAGTCTTTTTCCGAAAGACTTTTGTGCAAAAGGGCCAGTGTAGACAGCATAGTATTGTTTTCCACAAAAAAGCCCCGACCGCGAAAATGGCGATTGGGGCTTTTTTGCGGAAAACCGTGTCTAGATTGGCCATGGACGCTTTTCTGCAAAAAGTGCTTTTGCGGAAAAGCATCCTGCCAATCTAGACGTGCTTTTCCGAAAATGCTTTTAACAGAAAACTTTTCTGTTAAAAGCATTTTCGGAAAATCATGCCAGTGTAGACGTAGCCAGGACGTATGGGGCATGATGCAGCACTATGAAACTGGTGTCCCTGTGTCTGACGGAAGCCTGTGGGAGGTGGGAACCTGATTTTTTAGAGATGGGATTTTATAGTCTCTGTCCACACATGAATGACATATTCTTACAGCAAATTTTAAACTACGGCCCTGTTGGCTAACACAGTGATTTCAGAAACTGACAGTGTCTACCTGGGGTTGTCACATGGCTGCGAATGGCTCCATTCCCACTTGAATGGCTCTTTCACAGATTCAGTGTTCCGCTAAATGCTCCGGCCGGCTTTGTAACTTCAAAGTTAACTAGATCCTCTCCGGAGTTAGACTCCCCAGGCTGCAAGAGCCACAGAGCAGGGATAGGAAGTGGCAGGTGGGTGGACATTAAGACCCAGAGGTGCCCCGCATTTTCAGGTGCCCTACTCAGCTGCACATTCTGCATATGGGTAAGGACGGCCTTGCCCATGCCTGGAGTCTCCGAGCCCTTTCTATGTACAATCAACAGCTGGAGCAGCATTCTTGGTGGCTCAGGCACAGAGGGAGACATGTACACTACAGGTCCAGGGGATCTGGCCAGCGGATGAGACTTTCAGGGGAAAGTTAAGAACTTAGCAGTGCCCCAAAAAGGTGCTTGCTGCCGGGTACCATCTTGGCTTTAATTCTTGGTGCAGAAAGTTTGCGCAGAGCAGGGGAGGTGCTAGCAAAGCCAGTGCTGGGCGCATGGGTTGAAACACACACGGCTTATTACCTTCCTGAGCGTGGCACTCAGGGGAGTCAGTCGGCAATGTCTCTGTAAGGCAAAACCTGATCTCTGCTTCTAATTCAGAGCTGGCCTCCGGGAAGGGAGCGTCTGTGTGACACGGCACCCCGACAGACCAGCAGATTTTGGGGGCTCATTTAGAACCTAAAGCCCGAAAGATGCAGTTGATTCCTGGGGGAGCAAAGGGGGGCCCAGCTCTGTGCACCAGGCAGTGGAGTGACACTGGGTTGGGATGGCTCTGTGGGGACCTGCACTTCAGTAGCAAACATAGCACTAGCCAGTGCTGGTGGGTGAAGAGTCAAGGGCCCGTCAGGGAGGTGTCAGGCTGCACAAGGATTTGTGCATTCCTCGGTTAAGATCTGTTCTTACTGGGACAAACCAAACCAGCTTAAATGCCGGGGGTTGCAGGGAATCCTACTTGCAGCAGCGCAGGGCAAATTTGCTCCACTCAGCTGCATCAAAGAATAGTCTTCTAGTTCATAGAATCCTAGAGCTGGAAGGGACCTTGAGAGGTCATCAAGTCCAGTCCCCTGCCCTCATGGCAGGACCAAGCACCATCTAGAGCATCCCTGATGGGTGTCTGTCTAAGATGCTCTTAAATATCTCCAGTGATGGAGATCCCACAACCTCCCTAGGCAATTTATTCCAGTGTTTCACCACCCTGACAGTGAGGAAACTTTTCCTAATGTCCAACCTAAACCTCCCTTGCTGCAATTTAAGCCCATTGCTTCTTGTCCTATCTTCTGAAGTCAAGGAGAACAATTTTTCTCCCTCCCCCTTTGAACACCCTTTCAGATATTTGAAAACCGCTATCACGTCCCCCTCTCAGTCTTCTCTTTTCTAAACTAAACAAGCCCAATTCTTTCAGTCTTCCCTCATCGGTCATGTTTTACAGACCTTAATCCTTTTTGTTGCTCTTCTCTGGACCCTCTCCAATTTCTCCACATCTCTGAAATGCAGTGCCCAGAACTGGACACGGTGCTCCAACTGAGGCCTAATCAGCACAGAGCAGAGCAGAAGAATGACGTCTCGTGTCTTGCTCACCGCACTCCTTTCATGCAGCCCAGCATCATGTTGGTGGCTTTTGCAGCAGTGTCACACTGTTGACTCGTATTTAGCTAGTGGTCCACTATGACCCACAGATTCCCTAGGCAGAAAACTGGATTGCAAGAGAACAGGGTTCTGACCCCTGCTTGGCCCCAAAACCCGTTGAATAAATCCCTTAGGATGTGTCTGTGCTGCAGCTTGCTTGCAGTATGTACACATGTTCCTGTGTCTGTGCTGCAGCTTGCTTGCAGTATGTACACATGTTCCTGTGCTAGCTTGGATGCCTCTAAGAGTGGCACTGTGGCAGCATGGGGCTTGTTGCTGGAGTGAGCATCTGGGAGCTTGTGCTGCTGCGGCTTCACTGCTGCTGGTACCTAGGCATGGCAGGTTAATGCTCGCCACAGTGCATCTGCACGTGCTCCCATCACGCCTCTGCCTGCAGCGTGGACGTACCTCCCACGGCGCACAGCGGCTGTGGGAATATCTACAATGGATCCAGGCCCGCGGTGTGGCTGTCCTGGATCAGTTGAGATGGGCTATAAAATTGCATGGAGATGTTTGGGCTAAGGCACAGGGCTTGGGTCTCAGAGCCAGGACTGCAGCCCACACCGGAACATCTGCACTGCAATTGTTAGCCCCGCTGCTTGGGCCAGCGGATCCAGACTCTAAGACTGGGTGCAGGGGAAGGGAAGGTTTATTGCATGGACAGACCCTGGATTTCCCCTCTTCTCAGCTTCTTTGTCTATTTAGAGAGGAGAGGGCTTTGCTTGGCCCAAAACATTCTAGAGCAGTGGTTCCCAAACTTTTTGGAATCGTGCCCCCTTTTTGATTTTTTAAAAACCCTCATGCCCCCTTTCCCCCCATAACAACAAAACTTGTTAAGTGCAAAAAAAAAAAAAAAAAAAGAAACTGACCGGAGCAGAAAAACAAAAATAGCAGCAAAACTTACTCAGACCCTCTTGGCTTTTAATAAACCTTCCCATACCTCCTATTCAATATGAATGGAAATAAATTCAAGACTCTAGAATCCACAACTTTTTTCACTAACACTACTACTTTTGGAATATTTCAATTACGATAATCTAGTTATTTACCAAATATTCCCCATACCCCCTTGACAAGCTTCTCGTAACCCCTGGGGGTATGCATACCCCAGGTTGGGAACCCCTGTTCTAGAGCAATGGTTCCCAACCTGTGGTCTGCAGACCCCTGGTGGTCCACAACAGTACTGAAGGGGGTCCCTGGGAAGTTTTAAAAGTTTGGATCTTTTCTTTTCCCCACAAGGGCGAAGGGGGGGAAAGGTCCATGAAATTTTAATACATTGAAAAAGGGTCCGTAAGCTCGAAAAGGTTGGGAACCCCTGTTCTAGAGCAATGGTTCAAACCAGTGTCTCTCAACCTTTTTTTATAAAGTACCTCTTTTAAAAAGAAATATATATGTACCCCCTTTATAAAAAAAATTATATGTACCCCCAATACCTACAGTTTTCAGACACACACATTTTTTCCTACCATTGCAGCACATTTGTTTAAACAACTTAATCGCAGCCGGGCAGGTGATGAAATTTTTGGGTGTAAAAAGTACAAAGAGAATAAAGCGCAGTAAAACTTAAAAGAAAAATTCAGTTTTCTCCAAATTTCAGTTGTGTTGACGTATCCCCCCAGACTTCTCTTGAGTACCACTGCAGGTACTTGTTGTATCATGCAAGCAAGGTAGTAACCAGCTTCAACAGGCCTTTATTTAACAAAGGTGAAACCTCTTAACAAAGCTGCTGCTGCTCCCCTCTGTAGCTCTCACTCAGGCCTGGCCCATCTTCTCCCCCCTCCTTCCTGTTTCCTGTGCTTCCAGATTCCCAACAGCCAGTGCTCCCAGTTCTAATAATTACAAGCAGCATCTAAAACACCACAGTACTCGTCCCACTGGTTGAAAAACACTGCTTCAAACCACTGCAGAAAAAGCGAAGCCTGCACTCCACTTTGAAAATACTCAAACCAATTGCACGAATGCTGCAGAAATCCTGGGCCACAAGCCTTCGGGAGGGGTGTTAATATCCAGGAGGATGAGCCGTTGTTTGCCTGTCGCTTGACGTTGAATCTCTCTTTTGCTAGTAATAACCTCACACCGTGCACGCTGTTCCTTTGTCAACATAACTAAGGCCTAGGCCAATAAAGGAGATCTTTGTACTGAGCTGTGTAGGCATAGGATTTCTATAACGAGCTGCTAAGGCGGCAGCATGGAGTAGGAGGTGGGTTGGTTTTCTAGCTCTGGATCTGTACTCACCTGCTGTATTGATCGTGGACAAGTCATATTGCTCTCTCTTCCCATGCCACCCTCCTGTGTATCTGAAATACGGGGCACTGCAAAAAAATAAATAGGGTTCTTAACTATAGGGGAGCCTGTAATGTAGTCTGCTGGC